GGGGGCGGGGCAGAGCTGTGTGTACTGTACCCGGGAGGGGGCGGGGCAGAGCTGTGTGTGCTATACCCAGAAGGGGGCGGGGCAGAGCTGTGTGTACTGTACCTACCCAGCAGGGTGCAGGTCCGCATACTTCTGGGTGTCATGTGACTTTTCCTTATACAATAAAGGAATAGTAGTGTTTGGGATCTTGCATTTAACCCAACAATGTATTGTGAGCGTTTTTCCATGTAGATAAACTTCTATAGCTTCATTGTCAGTGCCTAATTGACTAATTTATTTAATTCCCTAAAAGAAATTGGGTATTTGGAAGGATCATTTTTATTCACCCTAGAAACTCAATTTCACATCAACAGCCATCACACTAAAGTCTAATAGAAATTAGGACTAAAATGTGGATATTGGTTTCTATTATTTTTATTTAACATTTTCCTGCAGTTTCTTGCTACTTCAATTACATATGAACCATAAATAAGAGGTAGAATTCTTATAAGTGAAGAAACAAAATTATAATTATTTGCAAATGATATATTTATATATCTATGCTTCCCAAGAGTATCAAAGAAAAAATAACTGGAATTAATTAAGAGACTTCAGTCTAAATACAACTTTACTCAAGTGAGTGGGTTTTCTGTATAAGTAACCAGTACCACTGAAAAAGAGATCATTTACATAGGGACAGAAAGTATTTAAGTGTTTGAAAGTTACATTTACCAAAACATTTTAAGACTGCTATAAAAAAATTTACTATATTTTGCTGTAAAGAAAATCAATGTAGAACTATATTTCTGTATAAGAACACTTAATATATTTTAAAATATGTTGTGACAACTAAGCATATTTATAAGATTTTCATCATCATATGCCACCAGGAAAATTAAAATTAAAATAATGAGATACCACTGCACACCTACTAGAATGGCCAAAATCCAGAACACTACAACACCAAATGCTGGTGAAAAAGTGAGGTAGAAGAAACTCTCATTCATTGCTGATGGGAATACAAAATGGTACAGCCATTGGAAGATACCTTGGAAGATACTTTGGCTATTTCTGACAAAGCTAAACATAGTTTTACTATATAATTTAGCAATTTTGCACTCCTACGAATTTACCCAAATTATTCGAAAACTTAGGCCCACAAAAAATTGCACATGAATGTTGATAGCAGCTTCGTGCATAATTGTCAAATCTTGGAAGCAACCAAGATGTCCTTCAATAGGCGAATGGATAAATGGTGGTACATCCATACAATGAAATACTATTCAGCAATAAAAATAAATGAGCTGTCACACAATGAAAAAACATGGAGAAATGTCTTAAGTGCTTAAATACATATTATGAAGTGAAAGAAGCCAGTCTGAAAAGGCTACACACTGTATAATTCCAACCATATGATATCCTGGAAAAAGGTAAAACTATGGGGACAATAAAAAGATGAGTGGTTGCCATTGGGTCACAGAAAGGGAAGGATAAATACATAGAACACAGAAAATATTTAGGATGATGAAGCTATTTTGCCTGACAGTTTAATGATGGATACATGATATTATATATTTGTCAAAACCCACAAAATATACTCCACAAAGAGTGAACCCTAATGTAAAAAGTAGGTAATCATAAAGTATGAATGTTCATTCATCAGTTGTAAGAAGTGTACCGCACTAGTGCAAGGTATTAACAATAGAGGAAACTGGGGAGGCAGGTATAAGAGAACTCTATACTTTCTATTTAATTTTTCTGTAAACCTAAAGCTGCTCTAAAAAAATAAAAGCTATGAATTAAAATTAAAAAAATCCAGCCACAAAAAAGCATAAATAAATATTTATTGCTAACTGAAATAAGCCAGTCTGAAAAAGCTACATATTGTATGATTCCAATTCTATGACATTCTAGAAAAGGAAAAACTACAGAGACAATTAAAATATAAGGGGTTGGGGGTTGGTTGAGTAGGGGGAGCTCAGGAGATTTTTTATTGTGGTGAAACTATTCTGCATGATGCTGTAGTGGTGAGTGTGACACTACGCATTGTTAAAGCCCATAGAACTTTACAGTACAAAGAATGAACCTTAATGTATTCAAATTAAAGAAACAATCATTTAGGATGTGGAAGGATCCCAATGTAGAATGCAGGATATGACAAAACAATCTAACTATTACAAATATATGAAACCACCTCTCAGAAAGGGATGGAAGAAAATGGTGCTGACCTAAGTAACTTTAGAAGTGAGTGGAAACTGAAAATATAATAAATATATGTCATTAAAAATATATGTCAACTTTAGCCAATTTACTGATTTAATGTAATTCAAAATCCCCAGTAAAATTGTTTTTTCCAGATGAAAAACTGATCACAAAGATAATGCAAATTATTTTTAAAAGAGGAGGAATAGCTAAGTAAATATTGGATTAGCAAAGCTGGGAGGTGGATTTCTGTAATTGATTATAGGCAAAAGAAACTTTACAACATCATAGGACTGTTGATAAAGTCGTTTCCCATTAGTGTTCTGTATAACAATTCTAAGTTAATGGATTGGATGATGGGAGCCAAGTTTCTCACCATTGGAGTGGGAAGTTCCATCCAGTTAAGCAAGGGAGGAGGCTAGAATGACCCATGTGGCAATGGATTAGAATTGGAGACATCAGTATGAATTTAGGTTTAGCTTAATATAGATGTAGTTGGTTATATAGAGAGATACACACATGTAGATAGATGGTCAATAGATCAATAGATATATGTGTGTGATTTGTATACACACCTATTTCCTTGTTCTGTCAGCTGAGCAAACCTCGAAGCAATGACACTCCTGCAGCAACAAGCACAGCTGGGGCCCAGGTATTGGTTTCTAATACTCTCCAATGAAAGGAACCAAAGCTCCTTGAAAAAATGACTGGTTTTAGGACTAGGACAGGAAATATAGAAGATGAGTTTAGATCATGTAATGCTGGGAAGTAAAGAAGTGCTAAAACCTAATCCAAAACCAAAACCCCTATGATGATGGGAATATCTAAAGGATGCAGGTACTACGTGAAAGAGTTGAACAGCAAAATAAATAGTGTAGCATCAAGTTATAAACCGCCCCCCACAATGGGTTGCAAAATAAATGCCCATAAGTTCATAATGATATAGACAAATGATTGAATAAAGAAATTAGTTGGGGAAGGGAAAAAGACAATTCTATAGAGAAGAATTCCAAATAATTTAAATACTCTGCCCTCAGGGAGGTAGGGCATAACCCCCACCCCTTAAGTGTGGGCTGCACATAGTGACTTCCTTCTAAAGATTATGGTAGAAATGGGGAAAAAGGAATAATTTCAGTGGAGAAACCTGACAAACCCTACATCAGCCA